AAAATCTCCACCCCCCCGCCCAAAACCCCCAAAATCCCCCCAAAAAAACCCCAAATTCACCCAAAACCCCCCAAAGCCACCCCAAAAAATCCCCCAAAGTACAAAATCTACCCCAAAAACCTCAATATTCCCCCAAAATCCCCCCAAAAAACCCAAATACCCCCCCAAAACCCCAAATTCCCCCCAAATTCTCCCAAATTTTCCCCAAAACCCCAAATTCCCTGCAAATTTCCGCAAATCCCCCTCAAAAACCCCAAATTCCCCCCCAAAGTCCCCCCCAAAACCCCAAAGTCCCCCAAAACCCCCATAATTCCCCCCAAAACCCCCTAATTCGCCCCAAAATCCAAAATTCCCCCCAAATTCCCCCCAAAACCCAAATGCCCCCCCAAATTCCCTCCAAAATACCCCAATTGCCCCCCAAAGTTCCCCAATCCCCCCCAACCCCCCCAAAATTGGCCCCATTGGCCCCCCAAATTTTCCCCAAAACCCCAAATTCCCCTCAAAAAACCCCTAATCTCCCCCAAATTGCCCCGCAAAATCCCAAAATTCCCCCAAATTCCCTCCAAAATAACCCCAAATTCACCCAAATTCCCCCCCAAATCCCCCCAAATTTTCCCCAAAATCAGAATTTCCCCCTAAAAAGCCAAATTCCCCCCAAAATTCCCCGCAAAACCCAAATCCCCCCCAAATTCCCTCCAAAAAACCCAAATTCACCCAAATTCCCCCCAAATTTTCCCTAAAATCCCCAAATTTCCCCCCAAATTTCCCCCAAAAGCCCCAAATCTCCCCCAAATTTCCCCAAATTCCCCCAAAAACCCCAAATCCCCCCCAAATTCCCCCCAAAATCCAAATTCCCCCCAAATTCCCCCCAAAAACCCAAAATTCCCCCAATTTTACCCCCAAATTTTCCCCCCAAAAACCCCAAATTCACCAAATTCCCCCCAAATTTTCCATAAAAACCCCAAATGCCCCCCTAATCCCCCAAATTCCCTCCAAATCTCCCCCAAATTGCTGCCCAAAACCCCAAATCCCCCCAAAATCCCCCCAAATCCCCCCAAAACCCCAAATTCCTCCCAAAATCCCCCCAAAAAACCCAAATTCCCTCCAAATTCACCCAAATTTCCGCCCAAATCCCCCCAATTCTCCCCAAATTTCCCCCCAAAAAACCCAAATCCCCCCCAAATCCCCCCCAAAAACCCCAAATTCCCCCCCAAAACCCAAATTTTCCCCCCAAAAAACCCAAAATTGCCCCCAAACTCCCCCAAAAACCACAAATTCCCCCAATTCTCCCCCAAATTCCCCCAAATTTTCCCCAAAATCCAAATTCCCCCCAAATTCCCCCAAAAAACCCCAAAATTCCCCCAAATTCCCCCAAGTTCCCCCCAAAATTCCCCAAATCCCCCCCAAATTTCCCCCAAATTCCCCCCAAATTTTCCTCAAATTCACCCAAATCCCCCCCAAATTCCCCCAAAAACCCAAATTCTCCCCAAAATCCAAAATTCCCCCCAAATTCCCCCCAAAAAAAACCCAAATTCCCCCCAAACCCCCAAATTCCCCCAATTTTACCCCCAAATTTTCCCCCCAAAAACCCCAAATTCACCCAAATTCCCCCAAATTTTCCATAAAAACCCCAAATTCCCCTCAAAAAACCCAAAATTCCCCACAAATTCCCCCAAATCCCCCCCAATTTTCCCAAAACCCCAAATCCCCCCAAATTCTCCCCAAAATTTCCCCAAATTTCCCCAAATCCCCCCCAATTTCCCGCTCCCCTCCCCCACCGCTCTCCTCTCCCGGTCCCTCTCGCCCCTCCCCCCCCTTGGGGTCCCTTATCCCCCCCGCCCCTCCCCCCGCCGGTGACGTCACCGCCCATTGTCCCCGGCTCTGTCGCGACATCCGACACCGCCCCTCCCCCACCCCCGGGGCCTTTTTGGGGTGAAAAAGACAAAAGGGGGTGGGGGAGGGGCGCGCGGTGACGTCACGGAGCCGCCCCTCCCCCACCCCGCACCTGTCGCGGCTTTTTTGGGACCCCCCCAAAAATGACAAAAGGTGGGGGAGGGGAAGGGGGGGGAGGGGGGGGAGGGGGTCACCTTCACCCATCCCCCACCCCCACCCCGAATCCTCCGCAGCCCGCTTTTGGGTCCAAATTTCTTTATTTTGGTACAAAAAGGGCCCCGAAATTCCCCTCCCCCCACACAAAAAAATAAAATAAAATAAAAATAAAAATAAAAATAAAAATAAAAGTAAAAAAATAAAAATAAAAATGAAAATAAAAATAAAAAATAAAAATAAAAATAAAAATAAAAAATAAAAATAAAAATAAAAAATAAAAATAAAAAATAAAAATAAAAAATAAAATAAAAATATAAAAAATAAAAAATAAAAAATAAAAATAAAAAATAAAAATTAAAAATAAAAATAAAAAATAAAAATAAAAATAAAAAATAAAAATAAAAATTAAAATAAAAATAAAATAAAAAATAAAAATAAAAAATAAAAATAAAATCAAAATCAAAATAAAAATAAAAATAAAAATTAAAAATAAAAAAAAAAAAAATTAAAAATAAAAATAAAAAATAAAAATAAAAATAAAAAATAAAAATAAAAATAAAAAAGCACCAGGGACCGACCCCTCCCCCACCCCCAGCCCCTCCCCCACCTCCCCAAATCCCCCTCCCCAAAATGGAACCGGGGGGGGGAGGGGAAAGGGGGGAGGGGATCAGCTCCAAAATTGGGGTCCGGAGAACAAAAATTGGGGAAAAACCCCAAAATTTGGGGGGAAAACCCCAAAATTCGGGTCCAGACCCTAAAAACTGGGGGGAAACCCCGAAAATTGGGGGGAAAAACCCCAAAATTCGGGTCCAGAGCCAAAAAACTTGGGGTGAAAACCTCAAAATTTGGGTCCAGACCCCAAAATTTGATCCAAATGCCAAAAATTGGGGTGAAACCCCCAAAAATCGGGTCCAGAGAACAAAAATTGGGGGGAAACCCCAAAATTCGGATCCAGACCCCAAAATTTGGATCCAGACCTCAAAAATTGGGGTCCAACCCCAAAATCCGGGTCCAGACCCCAAAAATTGGGGTGAAAACCCCAAAATTGGGGGGAAACCTCCAAAAATTCGGATCCAGACCCCAAAATTTGGATTCAAATGCCAAAAATGGGAGTGAAAACCTAAAATTCGGGTCCAACCCCAAAAATTGGGGTGAAACCTCCCAAATTCGGGTCCAGAACCCCAAAAATTGGGGTGAAACCCCCAAAATTCGGATCCAGACCCCAAAAAGGGGGGCCCGACCCCAAAAATTGGGGTGAAAACCCCAAAATTTAGGTCCAGACCCTAAAAATGGGGGTGAAAACCCCAAAATTCGGGTCCAGAGCAGAAAAACTGAGGTGAAACCCCAAAAATTGGGATGAAAAGCCCCAAAATTCGGGTCTGGACCCCAAAAATTGGGGTTCAACCCCAAAATTCAGATCCAGACCCCAAAAATTGGGGTAAAACCCCCAAAATTCGGATCCAGACCCCAAAATTTGGATTCAAATGCCAAAATTGGGGTGAAACCCCCAAAATTCAGATCCAACTCCCCAAAATTCAGATCCAGACCCCAAAAATTGGGGTCCAACCCCAAAATTCAGATCCAGACCCCAAAAATTGGGGTGAAACCCCCAAAATTCGGATCCAGACCCCAAAAATTGGGGTGAAAACCCCAAAATTGGGGTGAAACCTCCAAAAATTCGGATCCAGACCCCAAAATTTGGATTCAAATGCCAAAAATTGGGGTGAAACCCCAAAAATTCGGGTCCAGACCCCAAAACCGGGGGGTTTAACCCCAAAAATTCAGATCCAGACCCCAAACCCGGGGTTTAAACCCAAAAATCCGGGTGGAGCCCCCCAAAATTTGGCTCCAAACAGCAAAAGGGGGCAGCGAAACGCCAAAAATGCAGGACCAGACCTTGAAAATTGGGGCCTGACCCCCCAAAATTTGGAGCTCACCCCCAAAATCCGGGTTTAACCCCCCAAAATCCAACTCTAACCCCCCAAATCTGGGTCTAATCCCCCAAAATTTGGGGTTCACCCCCCAAAATCCGGGTTTAACCCCCCAAAATCCGGGTTTAAATTCCCAAAATCTGCAGCCAGACCCCCAAAATCCAGGTTTAACTCCCCAAAACCCAACTCTAACCCCCAAAATCCGGGTCCACCCCCCCAAAATCTGGGTCTAATCCCCCAAATTCAGGTTTACACCCCCAAATTTGGGGTTAACCCCAAAATCTGGGTCCAGACCCCAAAATCTGTGTTTAACCCCCAAAATCCGGGTTTAGCCCCCAAATCTGGGTCTAATCCCCCCAAAATCCAGATTTAACCCCCAAAATTTGGGGTTACCCCCCAAAATCCAACTCTAACCCCCCAAAATCCGGGTTTAACCCCCCCAAAATCCACCTCTAACCACCCAAAATCCAACTCTAATGCCCCAAAATCTGGGTCTAACACCAAAATCCGGGTTTAACCCCCCAAAATCCAGGTTTAACCCCCCAAAATCCGGGTTTAGCCCCCCAAATCCAGACCCTTTCCCAAACCAGGGGGGTTCCCCCTCCCCAAAATCCATCCCTGCCCCCCCCCCAGAGGGATCCAGCCCCCCAAAATTCCCCCAAATTTGGGGAATTCGGCTGGGTGGGGTTGGGGGGCAGCGCCAGCTCCAGCCCCCCAAATTCCCCCCAAATTCCCCCAAATTTGGGGGTGCTCATGGCTCGGCGTGGGTGGGGGGCAGCGCCAGCTCCAGCCCCCCAAATTCCCCCAAATTCCCCCCAAAATTCCCCAAAATTTGTGGAATTCGGCTGGGTAGGGTTTGGGGGGCAATGCCAGCTCCAGCCCCCAAATTCCCCCCAAATTCCCCCCAAAATTCCCCCAAATTTGGGGTGCTCATGGCTCGATGTGGGCAGGGGGCAATGCCAGCTCCAGCCCCCCAAATTCCCCCAAATCCCCCCCAAAATCCCCCAAATTTGGGGGCGCTCACGCCTGGTTCGGGGGCAGCGCCAGCTGCAGCCCCCCCTGTGTCACCACCAGCCGCAGCCGGGGGGGGCTCCCCGGGCCGGGTTTGGGGGCGCTGCCCCCCAGGCGCACGTGGGCGTACAGGGACAGTTTTGGGTCTGGGGGCTCCGCCGGGGCCGCGGCCGCTTTGGGGGCGGCCCTGGGGGGCTCGGGGCGGCTCCGCAGCCGCACCACGGGGACCCCGGCCCGCAGCTTGCAGCGCCCCCCGCAGGACACGCAGTCGTGCAGGGACACGCGGGGCTGCGCCGCCAGGGGGCGCCCGGCTCCGGCGAGGGGGCGCCGCTTCCGGTTCCGGTCGCGCTTCCGGTTCCGGGGGCGCCGTTTCCGGTCAGGCGTCCCGGACTGGGTTGGCCCCGCCCCTCGGCGCATGCGCACATCGGTCTCGCGCAGTTCGTATTTTGGGGGGGGGTCCTGAGGGGGGGGAGGGGAGGGGGCGGCTTGGCCCCTCCCCCCCCCGCGGCCACGGAAGGCGCCCTTGCCGAGCCTGGGGGGAGGGGACGGGAATCAGGGACCCCAGACCCAAATTGGGGACCCCAGACCCAAATTGGGGGGGGGAACAGGAATTGGGGACCCCAGACCCAGATTGGGGGGGGAACAGGAATTGGGGACCCCAGACCCAGATTGGGGGAGGGGATGGGAATGAGGGACCCCAGACCCAAATTGGGGACCCCAGACCCAGATTGGGGGGGGAACAGGAATTGGGGTCCCCAGACCCAAACTGGGGACCCCAGACCCAAACTGGGGGAGGGGATGGGAATGAGGGACCCCAGACCCAAATTGGGGGGGAGAACAGGAATTGGGGACCGCAGACTCAAATTGGGGGGGGGACGGGAATCAGGGACCCCCGACTGAAATTGGGGACCCCAGACTCAAATTGGGGACCCCCACCCCCAGAATTGGGGACCCCCACCCAGAATTGAGGAGCCTCACCCCTGAACTGGGGACCCCCACCCAAAATTTCGGGGTCCCTCTGAGGTTTTTGGGGTCCCTCTGGGGTTTTTAGGGTCAGGATTTTGGGGTCCCTCTGGGGTTTTTAGGGTCAGGTTTTTGGGGTCCCCCTCTGGATTTTTGGGGTCCCTCTGGGATTTTCAGGGTCAGGATTTTGGGGTCGCTCTGGGTATTTTGGGGTCCCTGTCAGGATTTTTCGGGGTCCCCGTGGGTATTTTGGAGTTTTTGGGGTCCCTCTGAGGTTTAGGGTCAGGTTTTTGGGGTCCCCGTGGGTATTTGGGGTTTTGGGGTCCCTCTGAGGATTATGAGGTCAGGATTTCGGGGTCTCCGTGGGTATTTTGGGGTTTTTGGGTCCCTCTGAGGTTTTTAGGGTCAGGATTTCGGGGTCCCCGTGGGTATTTTTGGGGTACCTCTCGCAGGTGCGGCACTCGCAGCCGCGGTTGCCCTCTCCGAAGAAGCCGTCGCCATAGAAACAGGTGATTTCTGCCCGGGGGGGGATGTCCCGCAGCGCCTGCACCCGCGCCCCGCCCGGCGCCGACACGAACTGCGCCCCAAAACGGGAGAGAAATGTGAAACCAAAAACGGGACCCCAAAAACGGGACCCCAAAAAGGGGAGAGAGACGTGAGACCGAAAACGGGACACCAAAAATGGGAAAGACCCGAAAACGGGACCCTGAAAACGGGACCCCAAAAATAGGAGAGAAACAGTGAGGCTGAAAACGGGACCCTGAAAATGGGACCCCAAAAATGGGAGAGACCCGAAAACGGGACCCCGAAAACAGGACCCCGAAAATGGGAGAGAAATGGTGAGACCGAAAACGGGAAACCAAAAATGGGACCCCAAAAATGGGAGAGACATGGTGAGGCCAAAAATGGGAAACCAAAAACGGGACCCCAAAAATGGGAGAAACCCAAAAACAGGATCCCGAAAATGGGAGAGACACGGTGAGACCAAAAACGGGACCCCAAAAATGGGAGAGACACGGTGAGACTGAAAATGGGAAACCAAAAACGGGACCCCCAAAAATGGGAGAGACCCAAAAATGGGAGAGAAACAGTGAGGCCAAAAACGGGACCCCAAAAATGGGAGAGACCCGAAAACGGGAGAGACCCGAAAATGGAAGAGACACGGTGAGACCAAAAATGGGAAACCAAAAATGGGACCCCAAAAACGGGAGAGAAATGTGAGACCAAAAATGGGAAACCAAAAATGGGATCCTGAAAACGGGAGAGACCCAAAAACGGGAGAGAGACGTGAGACCGAAAACAGGAAACCAAAAACGGGAAACCAAAAACGGGAAACCAAAAACGGGAGAGAAATGTGAGACCAAAAATGGGACCCCGAAAACAGGAGAGAGACCATTTCCCCCTCATGTTTCCCCCCTTTTCCCCTCATGTTTTCCCCATTTTCCCCTCAAGTTTCTCTCCATTTTCCCCTCACGATTTCCTCTATTTTCCCCTCACATTTCCCGCTCTTTTTCCCCCCTCATGTTCCTCCATTTTCCCCCTCGCATTTCCCCCATTTTCCCCTCACATTTCCCACCCTTTTCCCCCTATTTCTCTCCCTTTTCCCCTCACATTTCCTGCCCTTTTCCCCCTCAGGTTTCCCTCCATTTTCCCCCTCATGTTTCTCAAAATTTTCCTCTCATATTTCCTGCCTTTCTCCCCTCACGTTTCCCCTGTTTTCCCCTCACATTTCCTTCCATTTTCCCCTCATATTTCCGACCCTTTTCCCTTCACATTCCCTGCCCTTTCCCCCCTCACATTTCCCCTCATTTTCCCCTCAAGTTTCTCTCCATTTTCCCCTCACGTTTCCCGCTCTTTTTCCCCCCTCACGTTCCTCCATTTTCCCCCTCGCATTTCCCCCATTTTCCCCTCACATTTCTCTCCCTTTTCCCCCTCACATTTCCCACCTTTTTTCCCCTCACATTTCCCACCTTTTTCCCCTCACATTTCCCACCATTTTCCCCCCACATTTCCCCCCCTTTCCCCTCACATTTCTCTCCCTTTTCCCCTCACATTTCCCTCCATTTTTCCCCTCACCTTTCCCCGCCCTTTTCTCCCCTCACAATTCCCGCCCTTTTTCTCCCCTCACAATTCCCGCCCTTTTCTCCCCTCACAATTCCCGCCCATTTCCCCTCACACTCCCCACCCCAAACCCAACCTTTTTTCACCCCAAAACCCCCCAAAAAAACCCTTTTTAAACTCACCCTGCAGTTCGGCCGACAATCTGAGGACAAAGCAGCACCATCAGCACCCGCTGGAGGCCCCCACAGCGCCCGGGTGCGTCCTGAGGGCGCTCGGGGGCCTTGAGGGGTGGGTGGGGAAGGGGCGGGGAGTGGAACTACAGGAGGGAATTTTTTTGTGTTTTAGCCGCATTTCGGGGCAGTTTCGGGCTCCCACCGTGGTTGATGAAGGCGGCCGGCCCCAGCCACAGCTGGGTTTTCCTGCGGCGGGTGGAGTACATGAGGCTGAAGTCGTTGTCCCCAGCCCGCAGCAGCGCCCGGTCCGAGCCCCGCAGCTCCACACTGCAGCCGCCCAGCAGCTCCAGCGTCTCGTGTTTCTGCCTGCACGGCCAAAAATAGGGGAAAAACTCAAATTTTGGGGTTTTAAAAAAAATTTAAAGGGTTTTGGAGAAGTTTAAAAGGTGGATTTTTGTAGAGATAGCAGGGCTGTAGAGTTAGGCCCCATATGCCCCACAGCTCCACGCTGCAGCCGCCCAGCAGCTCCAGCCTCTCGTGTTTCTGCCTGCACCCACAAAAACGGGAAAAAACCCCAAGTTTTGAGGAAAAATTTAAACTTTAAAAGGTTTTGGGGAAGTTTAAAATGTACATTTTTGTAGAAATAGCAGGGCTGTAGAGTTGGGCCCTGTAGGCCCCACAGCTCCACGCTGCAGCCGCCCAGCAGCTCCAGGGCAGTTTTTGGGGTGGTTTTTGGGGCAGTTTTTGGGGTTTTTGGGCTCACCACGTGCGCGTTGCCACCACCCTGGCGCCGTTGGTGTCCCGGCTGTAGCGGGTGCAGGGGTTTTGGGGTTTTTGGATATTTTGGGATATTTTGCAGGTTTCAGGGCAGTTTTTGGGGTGGTTTTTGGGGTTTTTGGCTCACCACGTGCGCGTTGCCACCACCCTGGCGCCGTTGGTGTCCCGGCTGTAGCGGGTGCAGGGGTTTTGGGGATTTTGGGATATCAGGGTGGTTTCAGGGTGGTTTTTGGGATATCAGGGTGGTTTTTGGGGCAGTTTTTGGGGTAGTTTTTGGGGTTTTTGGGCTCACCACATGCGCGTTGCCACCACCCTGGCGCCATTGGTGTCCCGGCTGTAGCGGGTGCAGGGGTTTGGGGTGGTTTTTGGGTACTTTAGGATATTTTAGGGTTTCAGGGCAGTTTTTGGGGTGGATTTTGGGTATTTTTTGGGGTTTTTGGCTCACCACGTGCGCGTTGCCACCACCCTGGCGCCGTTGGTGTCGCGGCTGTAGCGGGTGCAGGGGTTTTGGGGTTTTTTGGATATTTTGGGATATCAGGGCAGTTTTTGGGGTGGATTTTGGGTATTTTTTGGGGTTTTTGGCTCACCAGGTGCGCGTTGCCACCACCCTGGCGCCGTTGGTGTCCCGGCTGTAGCGGGTGCAGGGATTTTGGGGCGGTTTTGGGGTTTTTGGGTACTTTAGGATATTTTGCAGGTTTCAGGGCAGTTTTTGGGGCAGTTTTTGGGGTTTTTGGGCTCACCAGGTGCGCGTTGCCACCACCCTGGCGCCGTTGGTGTCCCGGCTGTAGCGGGTGCAGGGGTTTGGGGTATTTTGGGATATTTTAGGGTTTCAGGGCAGTTTTTGGGGCAGTTTTTGGGGTTTTTGGATATTTTGGGGTTTCAGGGCAGTTTTTAGGGTATTTTTTGGGGTTTTTTGGGCTCACCATGTGCGCGTTGCCACCACCCTGGCGCCGTTGGTGTCGCGGCTGTAGCGGGTGCAGCGCTGGATGCTGAAGCCGCTCTCGGGCAGGAGCGTCCGCAGGTACCGGAACACCTGGGGGGGGGGGAAAAGGGGGAAACCAGGGGGGCTCGGGACCCCCACAGGGACCCCAGAACCCCAAAAACCCTGCCCTGACCCCACTGAGACCCCAAAACCCTGCCCTGACCCCACTGAGACCCCAAAACCCCTCCCTGTGCCCCACAGACCCCCCTGTGCCCTCCTTAGGGACCCCTCCAGAGCCCCCCCGTGCATCCCTCGCCCCCCAAATCCCCCCAGAGACCCCCCAAAGACCACCCCAGACCCCCCTATACCCATCAGGACCCCCCAAATCCCCCCAAATCCCTCCCCAGACCCCCCCAAAACCCCTCTAGGGACACCCCAGACCCCTCCAGGGACCCCCCAAACTCCCCCTAGGACACCCCAAAACCCCTCAGGACCCCCCCCAGCATCCCCCAAATCTCTCCCAGGACACCCCAAACCCCCCCCAGGACACCCCAAACCTTCCCCAGGACCCCCCGATCCCCCCTAGGACACCCCAAAACCCCTCAGGACCCCCCCAGCATCCCCCAGATCCACCCAGGGACCCCCCAAACCCCCCCCAGGACCCCCCAGATCCCCCCCAGGACCCCCCCAAACCCCCCATAGGACCCCCCAAACTCCCCCCAGACACCCCCCTATAATCCCCATAGGGACCCCCCAAACCCCCCCAGGACCCCCCCAGATTCCCCCAGGACCCCCCAAACCCCCCCAGGACCCCCCCAACCGCCCCCCGGTTCCCCGTACGTGGTTTTTGAGCGCTGCCCGCTGCGCCGGGCGCCGCTGGCGGAAGAACGCGGGGGCCCAGGCCCCGCTCAGCGTCCGCCAGGCGGCCTCGAGGTCCCGGCGCTGCCGGAAGGCGGCGATGGCCGCGCGGAGCTGGGCCCGGCGCCGCAGCGCCGGTAACGGGCTGGGAACGGGGGAGAATCGGTAACGGGAACGGGACAGGGGGAACGGGACAGACCCGGGACAGCCGCCATGGTAACGGGCTGGGAACGGGGGGAAATCGGGAACGGGAACGGGACAGGGACAGCAAACAGCGAGACCGGGAGAGACTCGGGACCGGGACCGGGACCGGGGAGAGAATCGGGACCGGGATGGGACAGCGGGAACGGGAGAGACTCGGGACCGAGACCAGGGAGAGAATCGGGACCGGGATGGGGACAGCGAGAAGCGGGACCGGGAGAGACTCAGGACAGCGGGAACGGGAGAAACTCGAGACCAGGATGGGACAGCGGGAACCGGGACAGGGACAGCAGGACCGGGACCGGGAGAAACTCGGGACCGGGACACCGGGACGGGGATCCCACACACCGGGACAAGGTCTCCGCACTCCGGGCCCCACCGAGGTGACGGCCCCGGCACAGGGACCCCCTCAGCACCCCCGCCCCGCCCCGTTCTTCCCCTCCGGGTGTTCCCCGCCTCGGCCCCTCAGGAGCGCGGTTCTCCCTCCCGGTGCCCGCTCCCGGTGTCCCCGGGCTCACCTGACGCCCATTTTGTGCGTTCGGAAGCCGAGCACCGAGTCCAGCACGAGGCTCGTGGCCAGGTCATCGTTCTCGCAGAGCTCCCGCGCCGTCACCGCCGTCCCCGCCGCCCGGGCCCGCATGGGCTGCGGCCGCCGCCGCCGCCTCCGCCGCGCCTGCAGCACCGGGAGCAGCACCGGGAGCGTCACCGGGAGCTGCCGCGGCGCGGGACCCCGAGCACGGGGCGAGCCCCGGGAGCCCCGTCCCGGCCGTTACCGCAGCGCCGCGGCTGCGGGACCGGCCGGGGCCGCCGCCGGTACCGGGCCCGGCGCGGCCCCGGCGCCGCCGCCCGCCCGCTCCCGCCGCCCGCTCCGCCATCCCCATTGGCCGCCTGCCTCCCGCGCCGCCGCTCCGATTGGCTGCCCGCGGGGAGTCCCGCCCCCTCCGTGAGGCGCTCGGCGAGATGATTGGTGGAAGCGGCGGCGCCACCGCATTGGTCAGCGGCGTTGCGGGCGTGCTATTGGTCCAGAGAGAGGCCGCTCAAGCCGCGCTATCATTTCATTGGCTAAAACCGCGCGGGTCCCGCCCTTTCCCTTCCATTGGCTAAACCCCACCGCCCTCCTCTTTTCCTATTGGCCTTCTCCTTACCAAGCTTCCCTCGTATTGGTGAAACGCGCTGTCACTCATCACCACAGCCTCACAATGAGCCCAGCGTGTGGCCGGCCATAAACAATACACTCGAGGCCCCGCCTCTTCCGCCGCCAGGCCCCGCCTCTTCCGCCCATGGGCTCCGCCTTTTCCAAGATGGCGCCCGCCAGGCGCGGCGGGCGGCATTAGCGGGGCCGGGCGGTACCGGGCGGGACCGGGGCGGTCCCGGAGCGCTCCCGGCGGGGCCCGGAGCGGCCGCGAGGCCTCTGCGAGCGGCGATGGCGGCGGCGGCGGGCGGCGGGGCCGGCGGGGGCCGGCGGGAGCCGCCTCACACGCTGCAGGGGCTGCTGGAGATGGCGGTGGTGGCCGGGGAGGCGCAGCCCGAGCCCCGGCAGCCCATGGCCGAGGAGGTGAGCGACGCTTTTGGGAGGCTTTGGGGCTTTTGGGGGGATTTTTGGAGCTTTTTGGGGCTTTTTGGGTCATTTTGGGGCAGTTCCGGGGGTCCCTGAGGGGCTTGGGGGGGTCTGGGGGGGTCCCGGGGATGATTGAGGCTCCCAGAGGCTGATTCTGAGGTAAATTTTGCTGATTTTGAGGTAATTTTTGCTCATTTGGGGGTAACTCCGCCTCATTTTGTGGAAATTTGGGCTCCCAGGGGCCCATTTTGGGGCTTTTGGGCCTTTTTGGGCTCTTTGGGGCCGCTCCGGGGCTCCCTGAGGCGTTTGAGGCGTCCGAGGGACGATTCGGGGTCCCAGGGGCTGATTTCGAGGTAATTTTTTGCCGATTTTGAGGTAAATTTTGCCGATTTTGAGGTAAATTTTGCCGATTTTGAGGTAAATTTTACTGACCCGCCCCATCTCGCAGAAATTTGAGGTCCCGGGAGGCGATTTTGGGGTAATTCTGGTCGATTTTGGGGTCATTTTGGACAATTTCACCCAATTTTCCCCCTCAGAGGCAGCGGTGGCTCTGAGCTGGGACATCCAAGGCTCTTGGTTAATTCCAGTGGAACTTTATTACAATTTTGAATAATTTTATGATAATCTTTAATAATTTTATGATAATTTTGGATAATTTTATGATAATTTTGGACAATTTCACCCATTTTTTCCCCTCAGAGGCAGCGGTGGCTCCGAGCTGGGACATCCAAGGCTCTGGGTTAATTATGGGTTTATTCCAGCGGAACTTTGGGATATTTTTGGGTAATTTGGGATATTTTTCGGTAATTTGGGATATTTTGGATAATCTGGGATAACTTTGGGATATTTTTATGATCATTTTGGGTGATTTTTGTCGTTTCTGAGGCCCTCTCAGGCCCTGGCTCCACCAGCGCCGAGCTCCAGCGCTGCCTGCGGGCCCTGGGCTCTCTCTGGCTTCATTTCTATGCTAATTTATGCTAATTTATCCTAATTTTTATTAATTTCTCTCTCTCCAGAGGCAGCAGTGGCTCCATGAGGCCGTGTCCCAGGCCCTGGGGTCATTCTGGGTTAACCCCATGGAACTTCTAGATAATTTTATGATAATTTATGCTAATTTTATGCTAATTTATGCCAATTTCCCCCGGTTTTCCCCTCTAGAGGCAGCAGTGGCTCCGTGAGGCCGTGTCCCAGGCCCTGGGTTCATTCTGGGTTAACCCCATGGAACTTTTGGATAATTTCAGATAATTTAATGATATTTTATGCTAATTTATGATAATTTATGCTAATTTCTCCCCTCCAGAGGCAGCAATGGCTCCGTGAGGCCGTGTCCGAGGCCCTTTCAGGCTCTGGCTCCATCCGGGCCCAGCTCCAGCGCTGCCTGTGGCTCTGGGCTCGTTCCTATGCTAATTTTATGCTAATTTATGCTAATTTCTCCCCGTTTTTCCCCTCCAGAGGCAGCAGTGGCTCCGTGAGGCCCTGGGTTCACTCTGGGTTAACCCCATGGAACTTTTAGATAATGTCACATAATTGTATGGTAATTTTAGATACTTTTATGGTAATTTATGCTAATTTATGCTAATTTCGCCCCGTTTTTTTCCCCTTCAGAGGCAGCAGTGGCTCCATGAGGCCGTTTCCGAGGCCCTGTCGGGCTCTGGTTCCATCAGGGCCCAGCTCCAGCGCTGCCTGCGCCTCTGGGCTCATTCCTATGCTAATTTATGCTAATTTTATGCTAATTTATGCTAATTTCTTCCAGTTTTTCCCCCTCCAGAGGCAGCAGTGGCTCCGTGCGGCCCTGGGTTCGTTCTGGGTTAACCCCATGGAACTTTAAGATAACTTTATGCTAATTTATGATATTTTTATGCTAATTTATGCTAATTTTGCCCCGTTTTTCCCCCCCAGAGGCAGCAGTGGCTCCCTGAGGCCGTGTCCCAGGCCCTGGGTTCATTCTGGGTTAACCCCATGGAACTTTTGGATTATTTCAGATAATTTAATGATATTTTATGCTAATTTATGATAATTTATGCTAATTTCTCCCCGTTTTTTTCCCTCCAAAGGCAGCAGTGGCTCCATGAGGCCGTGTCCCAGGCCCTGGGTTCATTCTGGGTTAACCCCATGTAACTTTTAGATGATTTATGCTAATTTTATGCTAATTTATGCTAATTTCTCCCCTCCAGAGGCAGCAGTGGCTCCGTGAGGCCCTGGGTTCATTCTGGGTTAACCCCATGGAACTTTTAGATAATGTCACATAATTGTATGGTAATTTTAGATACTTTTATGCTAATTTATGCTAATTTCTCCCCGTTTTTTCCCCTCCAGAGGCAGCAGTGGCTCCGTGAGGCCGTGTCCGAGGCCCTGTCGGGCTCTGGCTCCATCAGGGCCCAGCTCCAGCGCTGCCTGCGGGTCCTGGCCGGGCCCTGTCCCGGGGAGGCGGCGCCCGAGCGGGGCCTGGGGGACACCGGGGGCCACGAGGGGGCGCTGGAGGAGCTGGCGGAGCTCTGCGAGAGCCTGGACTGCGCCAACGGTGACAGTGGGGGCGTTGGGGGCACTCTGGGGTCACTCTGGGGGCATTGGGGTCAGTCAGGGGTCATTGGGGTCAGTCAGGGTCATTGGGGGGCATTGGGGTCAGTCAGGGTCATTGGGGTCATTGGAGTTATTGGGGTCACTCAGGGTCACTCAGGGGGCATTCAGGGCATTTGGGGTCATTCAGGGGTCATTGGAGTTATTGGGGTCACTCAGGGGGCATTGGGGGCATTTGGGGTCACTCAGGGGTCATTGGGGTCATTGGGGTCACTCAGGGTCACTCAGGGCTGCTTTGGGGTGGATTTTGTGCCATTTTTGCCTCTTTAACCCCATTTTTTCCCATTTTTTCCCCTTTTAACCCCATTATCCCCCAGAATTCTGCTCCCTGGGTGGCCTGGAGGTGGCGCTGTCCCTCCTGGGATGATTTGGGGCTGAATTTTGGGTCATTTTCCCCATTTTTAACCCGTTTTAACCCCAATTTTCACCATTTTAACTCCGTTTTTTCCCATTTTAACCCAATTTTTGCTCTTTTCTCCCCAGAATTCTGCTCTTTAGGCGGCCTGGAGGTGGCCCTGTCCCTGCTGGGTCACCGCTGGCCCCCTCTCTGTGCTGGGGCTGAATTTGGGGCTGAATTTGGGGCTGAATTTGGGTGGTTTTGGGCCATTTTAACCCCATTTTTCCCCATTTTAATCCCGTTTTTTCCCATTTTGACCCAATTTTTTGGTTTTTCACCCCAGAATTCTGCTCTTTAGGAGGCCTGGAGCTGGCCCTGTCCCTGCTGGGTCACCGCTGGCCCCCTCTCCGTGCTGGGGCTGCTGGGCTGGGGGTGCCTGGGGCTGAATTTGGGGCTGAATTTGGGCGGTTTTTGGGCCATTTTAACCCATTTTCCCCATTTTACACCCCGTTTTTTCCCATTTTTTCCCATTTTGACCCAATTTCCCATTTTTCTCCCAGATTCTGCTCCCCTGGGCGGCCTGGAGGTGGCGCTGTCCCTCCTGGGATGATTTGGAGCTGAATTTTGGGTCATTTTCTGCCACTTTCTCCCATTTTAACCCAATTTTCACCATTTTAACTCCGTTTTTTCCCATTTTGACCCAATTTTTTGGTTTTTCTCCCCAGAATTCTGCTCTTTAGGCGGCCTGGAGGTGGCCCTGTCTCTCCTGGGTCACCGCTGGCCCCCTCTCCGTGCCGGGGCTGAATTTGGGGCTGAATTTGGGGCTGAATTTGGGCCGTTTTGGGCAATTTTAACCCCATTTTTTCCCATTTTGACCCAATTTTTTGGTTTTTCTCCCCAGAATTCTGCTCTTTGGGAGGCCTGGAGGTGGCCTTGTCCCTGCTGGGTCACCGCTGGCCCCCTCTCCGTGCTGGGGCTGAATTTGGGTGGTTTTGGGCCATTTTAAACCCCGTTTTTTCCCATTTTTTCCCATTTTTTTCCTATTTTGACCCAATTTTTTGGTTTTTCTCCCCAGAATTCTGCTCTTTAGGAGGCCTGGAGGTGGCCCTGTCCCTGCTGGGTCACCGCTGGCCCCCTCTCCGTGCCGGGGCTGAATTTGGGGCTGAATTTGGGTGGTTTTGGGTGATTTTTGGGCCATTCTAACCCCATTTTCACCCCGTTTTTTCCCATTTTAACCCAAATTTCCCATTTTTCTCCCCAGAATTCTGCTCTTTGGGAGGCCTGGAGGTGGCTCTGTCCCTGCTGGGTCACCGCTGGCCCCCTCTCCGTGCCGGGGCTGAATTGGGTGGTTTTGGCCCATTTTAACCCCGTTTTAACCCATTCTAACCCCATTTTAACCCCATTTTTTCCCATTTTGACCCAATTTTTTGGTTTTTCTCCCCAGAATTCTGCTCTTTAGGAGGCCTGGAGGTGGCCCTGTCCCTGCTGGGTCACCGCTGGCCCCCTCTCCGTGCCGGGGCCGCGCGGCTCCTGGGCTGCTGTGCCCAGAACCTTCCGGAAGCTCAGGGCCGGGCGCTGGCCCTGGGGGCTCTGCCCGCGCTCCTGGGGCTGCTCCGCGCTGACCCCGAGCCCCGCGTGGCCCCAAACGCGCTCTTCGCACTCTCATGTGAGTAATGGGATTTTGGGGGGAATTTGGGGGAATTTGGGGGATTTTTTTGGGGTTTTTTGGGGATTTTTTGGGATTTTTTTGGGAATTTTGAGGGATTTTTTGTGATTTTTTGGAGGTTTTTTGGGATTTTTTAATATTTTTTGGGATTTTTTGGGGGTTTTTTTTGGGGAATTTTGGGGAATTTTTGGGGGTTTTTTTTGGGAATTTTTTGGGATTTTTTGGGGAATTTTGAGGGATTTTTTTGGGGATTTTTTGTGATTTTTGGGGGATTTTTGGGGAATTTTTGGTGATTTTTTTGGTGGTTTTTTGGGATTTTTTAGTGATTTTTTGGTGGTTTCTTAGGGTTTTGGGGGATTTTTGAGGGATTTTTTGTGTTTTTTTGGGGTTTTTTGGGGTTTTTTGGGATTTTTTTGGGATTTTTGGGGAATTTTTAGGGATTTTTTGGGGATTTTTTAGGGATTTTTTGGGGGATTTTTTGAGGGTTATTTCGGGATTTTTTGGGGAACTTTTAGGGATTTTTTTGGGATTTGTTTGGGATTTTTTTGGGATTATTTCAGATTTTTTTTGTGATTTTTTTGGTGATTTTTGGGGGGGTTTGGGGTTTTTTGGGGGATTTTTTTGGATTTTTGGGGGAATTTTTTGGGATTTTTTTTGGGATTATTTCAGATTTTTTTGGTGATTTTTTGGTGATTTTTGGGGGGGTTTTGGGGTTTTTTTGGGGATTTTTTGGGGTTTTTTAGGGTTTTTTTTGGATTTTTGGGGAATTTTTGAGGATTTTTTGGGGTTTTTTTGGGGATTATTTTGGGATTTTTTTGGGGATTTTTTGGGGGGTTTTTGGGGATTTTTTGGGATTTTTTTGTGATTTTTTGGGGATTTTTTGGGGATTTTTTAATATAATTTTCTGACTTTTTGGGGATTTTTTAGGGATTTTTGGGATTTTTTTGGGGATTTTTTAATAGATTTTTCTGATTTTTTAGGGATTTTTTGGGGATTTTTTTGGGATTTTTTAATATATTTTTTGGGATTTTTTGGGGGTTTTTTTTGGGGTTTTTTGGGGATTTTGGGGGATTTTTTTGGGATTTTTTGGAAGGATTTTTGGATTTTTTTGCGGGTTTTTTTTGGGTTTTTTTGGAGAATTTTGGAAATTTTTCGGAATTTTTTCGGAATTTTTTTTTATTTTTTGGGATTTTTGGGGAATTTTTTGGGATTTTTTGGGGTATTTTTGGGATTTTTTCGGAATCTTTTTCAGATTTTTGGGGATTTTTTGGGGGATTTTTTGGGGAATTTTGGGGAATTTTTAGGGATTTTTTGGGGATATTTTTGTGATTTTTGGAGAATTTTTGGGGATTTTTTGGGATTTTTTTGAGGGATTTTTGAGGATTTTTTGGGATTTTTTGGGGATTTTTTTGGGGATTTTTTTTGGGATTTTATTGGGGATTTTTTTGGGATTTTTTCGGAATTTTTTTTGGATTTTTTGGGGAATTTTGGAGGATTTTTTGGGGTTTTTTGGGAAATTTTTAGGGATTTTTGGGGGGATTTTTTGAGGGATTTTTGGGGCATTTTCGGGGATTTTTGGTGGTTTTTTGGGATTTTTGGAGGGATTTTTGGGATTTTTTTGGGGTTTTTCTGGGGGTTTTTTTGGAGAATTTTGGGAATTTTTTTGATTTTTTTGGGATTTTTTATATATTTTTTGGGATTTTTTGAGGGATTTTTTTGGGATTCTTTTGGGATTTTTTTGGATTTTTAGGGGTTTTTTTTTATTTTTGGGGGAATTTTGGGGATTTTTTGGGGATTTTTTTTTGATTTTTTAAGATATTTTTTGGGATTTTTTAATATATTTTTGGGATTTTTTGGGGTTTCTTGGGATTTTTTGGGGTTTCTTGGGATTTTTTTGGGGATTTTTTTGGTATTTTTGTGACTTTTTTTTTACTTTTTTGGGATTTTTTTTGGGGCATTTTTGGGGCATTTCGGGGGCATTTTTGGGATTTTTTGGATGGTTTTTTGGGATTTTTTTGGATTTTTTTGAGGGATTTTTGGACTTTTTTGGGGTTTTTTGGGGGGTTTTTTGGGATTTTGTAGTGATTTTTGGGGGATTTTTGGTTTGGATTTTTTGAGGGATTTTTAAAGTGATTTTTTGGGATTTTTTTGGGATTTTTTCAGATTTTTGAGGGATTTTTTGGGGATTTTTTTGGGGGGGTATTTTTGTGACTTTTTTCAGATTTATTTTTGTGATTTTTTGGGGGATTTTTTTTTATTTTTTGGGGGTTTTTTGGAGATTTTTTGGGGATTTTTTGGGGGATTTTTGGGGCATTTTCAGGGATTTTTGGTGGTTTTTTTGGGATTTTTTGGAGGGATTTTTGGGATTTTTTAGTGATTTTTGTGGGATTTTTTGGGGATTTTTGGGGATTTTTTGGAGAATTTTGGGGAATTTTTAGGGATTTTTTGGAGAGTTTTGGGGGTTTTTTGGGGGACTTTTTGGGGGATTTTTGGGGCATTCTTGGGGATTTTTGGTGTTTTTTTGGATTTTTTGGGATTTTTTTGAGGGATTTTTGGGATTTTTTGGAGGATTTTCTGAGGAATGGTTTTGGGGATTTTTGGGGATTTTTTGGGGGTTTTTGGGGATTTTTTAGTGATTTTTTTAGTGATTTTTGGGATTTTTAAGTGATTTTTGGGGGAATTTTTTGGGAATTTTTAAGGATTTTTTGGGATTTTTTGGGGGATTTTTTGAGGGATTTTGGGGATTTTTTGAAGGATTTTTTGAGGGATTTTTTGGGGGATTTTTGGGGGGATTTTTTGGGGATTTTTGGGAAATTTTTTTGGGATTTTATTGGGGGATTTTTGGGAATTTTTGGGGATTTTTTGGGGATTGGGGGTATTGGGGAGGTTGGGGGGATGGGGGATTTTGGGGGATTTTGGAGATGTTTTGGGGGATTTTTGGGGATTTTTTGGGATTTTTTTGGGGCTTTTGGGGGATTTTTTGGGGTGGTTTTGGGGGATTTTTTGGGATTTTTGTGCCGTTTTAAACCCCGTTTTTCCCCCTCCAGGCCTGGTGAGGGCCCAGCCCCAGGGGCTGCAGGAGCTCGAGGCTCTGGGGTGGATTTGGGGCAGATTTTGGGGTTTGGTGCAGATTTTGGGGTTTTTGGGGTTTCTGGGGTGGTTTTTTATCGATTTTTGTGTCATTTTTCCCGTTTTTGGCCGTTTTAACCCCGTTTTTTCCCCCTCCAGGCCTGGTGAGGGCCCAGCCCCAGGGGCTGCAGGAGCTCGAGGCTCTGGGGGCGGATTTGGGGCAGATTTTGGGGTTTTTGGGGTGGATTTTGGGTTTTTCGTGCAGATTTTGGGGTTTTTGGGGTTTCTGGGGTGGTTTTTTTATCGATTTTTGTGTCATTTTTCCCGTTTTTGGCCGTTTTAACCCCGTTTTTTCCCCCTCCAGGCTCCCCCTCCAGGCCTGGTGAGGGCCCAGCCCCAGGGGCTGCAGGAGCTCGAGGCCCTGGGGTGGATTTGGGGCAGATTTTGGGGTTTTTGGGGTGGATTTGGGGTTTTTGGGGTGGTTTTTTATCGATTTTTGTGTCATTTTTCCCGTTTTTGGCCGTTTTAACCCCGTTTTTCCCCCTCCAGGCCTGGTGAGGGGCCCAGCCCCAGGGGCTGCAGGAGCTCGAGGCTCTGGGGTGGATTTGGGGCAGATTTTGGTGCAGATTTTGGGGTTTTTGGTGCAGATTTTGGGGTTTTTTGGGGTTTCTGGGGTGGTTTTCTGTCAATTTTTGTGTCATTTTTCCCGTTTTTGGCCGTTTTAACCCCGTTTTTCCCCCTCCAGGCCTGGTGAGGGCCCAGCCCCAGGGGCTGCAGGAGCTCGAGGCCCTGGGGTGGATCTGGAGCAGATTTTGGGGTTTTTGGTGCAGATTTTGGGGTTTTTGGGATTTTTGGGGTGGTTTTTTATCGATTTTTGTGTCATTTTTCCCGTTTTTGGCCGTTTTAACCCCATTTTTTCCCCCTCCAGGCCTGGTGAGGGCCCAGCCCCAGGGCCTGCAGGAGCTCGAGGCTCTGGGGTGGATTTGGGGCAGATTTTGGGGTTTTTGGTGCAGATTTTGGGGTTTTTGGGGTTTTTGGGGTGGTTTTCTGTTGATTTTTGTGTCATTTTTCCCGTTTTTGGCCATTTTAACCCCATTTTTTCCCCCTCCAGGCCTGGTGAGGGCCCAGCCCCAGGGGCTGCAGGAGCTCGAGGCCCTGGGGGGGCTGGAGGTGCTGGGGGGGGCCCTGCAGAGCCCCCCACCCCCCCCTGAGGGCCCGCGCCGCCTTCCTGCTGCACTGCCTGCTCAAGGAGCACCCCCGCCTCAAAGGTCAGCCCCCAAAAACCGCCCAGATTCACCCCAAAAACTGCCCTGAAACACCCTCAGTTCCATCCTGACAGGGAGAAACCCAAAAAATCCCGAAATTCCCACAAAATTCCCACAAAAATCGCCCCAAAACCGCCCAGGTTCACCCCAAAAACCACCCTGAAATACCCTCAGTGCCACCCTGGGAGTGAGAGCCCAAAAAATCCCGAAATTCCCACAAAATTCCCAAAAAAAATCCCCCAAATTCACCCCAAAAACCACCCTGAAATACCCTCAGTTCCACCCTGGGAGTGAGAGCCCAAAAAACCCCAAAATTCCCACAAAATTCCCCCAAAAATCGCCCCAAAATCCCCCAGATTCACCCCAAAAACCGCCCTGAAATACCCTCGGTGCCACCCCCACAGGGAGACCCCAAAAAACCCCCAAAATTCACACAAAAGTTGCCCCAAAATCCCCCAAATTCACCCCAAAAACCGCCCTGAAATCCCCTTGGTTCCATGCCGGCAATGAGACCCCAAAAAGCTCCAAAAAACCCCAACATTCCCCCCAAAATCCCCCAAATTCACCCAAAAACTGCCCAGGAACCCCCTCAGTACCACCCCAGCAATGAGACCCTAAAGAATCCCAAAATTCCCACAAAATTCCCACAAAAATCGCCCCAAAACCGCCCAAATTCACCCCAAAAACAGCCCTGAAATACCCTCAGTGCCACCCCCACAGGGAGACCCCAAAAAAACCCGAAATTCCCACAAAATTCCCACCAAAATCGCCCCAAAATCCCCCAGATTCACCCCAAAAACCACCCTGAAATACCCTCAGCTCCATCCTGACAGGGAGAACCCAAAAAATCCCGAAATTCCCACAAAATTACCCCCAAAATCGCCCAAATTCACCCAAAAACCACCTGAAATACCCTCAGTTCCACCCCCACAGGGAGACCCCAAAAAATCCCGAAATTCCCACAAAAATCGCCCCAAAATCCCCCAAATTCACCCCAAAAACCGCCCTGAAATCCCCTTGGTTCCATGCCGGCAATGAGACCCCAAAAAAACCCCGAAATTCCCACCAAAATCGCCCCAAAACCGCCCAAATTCACCCCAAAAACTGCCCTGAAACCCCCTCGGTACCACCCCGGCAGGGAGACCCCAAAAAGCTCCAAAATTCCCCCAAAATTCCCCCCAAAATCCCCCAGATTCACCCCAAAAACTGCCCTGGAATCCCTTTGGTGCCAACCTGGGAGTGAGGCCCCAAAAAATCCTGAAATTCCCACAAAATTCCCACAAAAATCGCCCCAAAACTGCCCAAATTCACCCCAAAAACTGCCCTGAAATACCCTTGGTGTCACCTCAGGAGTCAGACCACAAAAAACCCCAAAATTCCCACAAAATTCCCACAAAAATCGCCCCCAAATCCCCCAAATTCACCCCAAAAACCGCCCTGAAACCCCCTTGGTACCACCCTGGGAATGAGACCCCAAAATTCCCACAAAAATCGCCCCCAAAACCACCCAAATTCACCCCAAAAAACTGCCCTGAAACCCCCTCAGTACCACCCTGGGAATGAGACCCCAAAATTTCCACCAAAATCGCCCCAAAATCCCCCAAATTCACCCCAAAAACCACCCTGGAATCCCCTCAGTTCCACCCTGGCAGGGAGACCCCAAAAACCACAAAATTCCCACAAAAATCCCCCCAAAATCCCCCAAATTCACCCCAAAAAACACCCTGAAATACCCTCGGTACCACCCTGGGAATGAGACCACCAAATTTCCCACAAAAATGCCCCCCAAAATCCCCCAACTTCACCCCAAAAACTGCCCTGGAATACCCTCAGTTCCACCCTGGGAGTGAGAGCCCAAAAAACCCCAAAATTCCCCAAAAAATGCCCCAAATTGACCCCAAAATCCCCGGATTTCACCCCAAAGCCCCTGATGACCCAAAACTCCCAGAATGGACCCAAAATCCCCGGATTTCACCCCAAAATCCCCGTTTTTCACCCCATTTTTTGCAGTTCCCCTGGTGCAGCAGGGCCTGGTCCCGCGGGCGGCGGCGCTGCTGCGCTCCGAGCACGACGGGGCCCACGAGCACGGCCTGGGCACCCTCTGCAGGTACTGAGACCCCCTCCCCAAATTCACAAAAAACACCAAAAATCCCAAAAATAGCAAAATCCCAAAATCCTGGGAACTAACCCCAAAAAACCTGGGAAAAAAAGCTCAAAATTTGGGGAAAATCCATCAAAATCTGGGACCATGGGAATGGGATTGGGCCCATGAGCACGGCCTGGGCACCCCTCTGCAGGTACTGAGACCCCTCCCCAAATTCCTAAAAATCCCAAAAAACACAAAAACACAAAATCCCAAAAATTTGGGGGAAAAAAAACCCAAAAAACCTGGGAAAAATCCATCAAAATTTGGGGAAAAAACATTGAAATTTGGGGCAAAAACATCGAAATTTGGAAGGGAAAAAGGGGAGGGGATGGGGGCACTGAGGGGGCGGAGACCCCTCCCCAAATTCACAAAAACACCAAAAAAACCAAAAAACACAAAAAACTGAAATTTGGGGAAAAAAAAACCCAAAAAACCTGGGAAAAAATCATCAAAATTTGGGGAAAAAACCTCAAAATTTGGGGGAAAAAACCTCAAAATTTGGGGCAAAAACATCAAAATTTGGGGAAAAACCATCAAAATTTGGGGATAAAACATCAAAATTTGGGGCAAAATCATCAAAATTTGAGGGGAAAACTCCAAGAAAAGAGGAAAAAATTCCCAAAAATTCCCATTTAAAAAATCCCAAAATTCAGGGGGAAATCCCAAATTTTGGGGGGTCTTGGGATGGATTTGGGGGGGATTTTTGGGGGATTTTGGGAAATTTTTGGGGGATTTTGGGGATTTTTGTGGGGGATTTTGGGGCAGTTTTTGGGGGGATTTTTGGCTGATTTTGGGGCATTTTTGGCTGATTTTGGGGGTGATTTTGGGGGTGATTTTTTAGGGATTTTGGGGCATTTAAGAGGGATTTTTTGGGGCATTTTTGGCTGATTTTTGGGGGTGATTTTTTAGAGATTTTGGGGCACTTTTTTGGGGGATTTTTGGCTGATTTCAAGGGATTTTTGGGTGGTTTGGGGGAGTTTTTTGGGTGATTTTGGGGCAGTTTTTGGGTGATTTGGGGCAGTTTTTGGCATGGTTTTAGGGGAGTTTTTTGGGTGGTTTTTGGGTGATTTTGGGGCAGTTTTTGGCGTGGTTTTAGGGGAGTTTTTTGGGTAGTTTTGGGGTGGTTTTGGGGCAGTTTTTTGGGTGGTTTTGGGGTGGTTTTGGGGCAGTTTTTGGCTGATTTTGGTGCAGTTTTTTGGGGTGATTTTGGTGCAGTTTTTGGCTGATTTTGGTGCAGTTTTTTGGGGTGATTTTGGGGCAGTTTTTAGGGTGGTTTTGGGGGCAGTTTTTGGCTGATTTTGGGGCAGTTTTTTGGGGTGATTTTGGGGCAGTTTTTTGGGTGGGTTTAGGGGAGTTTTTTTGGGTGGTTTTTGGCTGATTTTGGTGCAGTTTTTGGGGCTGATTTTGGTGCAGTTTTTGTCTGATTTGGGGCATTTTTGGCTGATTTTGGTGCAGTTTTTGGGGCAGTTTTTGGGGCTGATTTTGGTGCATTTTTTGGGGTGATTTTGGGGCATTTTTGGGCTGATTTTGGTGCAGTTTTTGAGCTATTTTTGGGCTCTCTGTGTCTCCTGCTCTTCTCCACTTTGTGATTTTCCCAAAATCCCGGTTTTTCGCCCCCCAGCCTCGGCCTCGGGCTGCCCCGAGGGGCTCCGGGAGTGCCGGGACCCCCGCGCTGGGGCTGGAGGAGCTGCTCAGGGAGCGCCGGGAGCTGCTCCGGGGGCCGCGACGAATTCCAGGTGGGTTTGGGGCAAATTCCAGCGATTTTGGCAAAACACAAAAATGGGGCAAATTCTGGGCGGGTTTGGGTCAGAAATTCCTGGAATTTTGGGGCAAATCCCTTAAATTTGGGAGGGTTTTGGGTGCGGGAGATTCAGGGGGTTTTTGGGGGAAAATCTCAGGATTTTGGGGGTGGGAATTCCTGGAATTTTGGGGTTAATCCCTAAAATTTGGGAGGGTTTTGGGGTGAGGGGAATTCACGGGGTTTTTAGGGTGGAAATTAATGGGATTTGGGGAGGAAGTTCCTGGAATTCTGGGGGAAAATTCCTGGAATTTTGGGGCAAATCCTTGGGATTTTGGGAGGAGAAAACCGCGAGATTTTAGGGCAAATCCCAAGGATTTTGTGGGGGGGCGAAATTCGCAGGATTTTGGGGCAGATCCTCGGGATTTTGGGGGCGAAATCCCCTGGAATTTTGGGGCGATTATCCATGGGATTTTAGGGGGTAAAATCTCTGGGATTTTGGGGAGAATCTGGGAGATTTTGGGGTAAATTCCCAGGAGATTTTGGGGTAAATTCCTGCGATTTCCTCCCCACAGGAAGAGCTGGAATTCTGCGAGCGGCTGCTGCAGCTCTGCTTCGAGACCCCCCCCGAGGAATCCACCATGGACCGATGACCCCAAAACCCCCCAAAATTCCCCCAAAAATGCCCCCAAAAACCCCCAAACGCTGCGAGCCCCCCGAGCCAGGGGGGAATAAACGCTCCGGACCCGACCCTGGCTGAGATTTGGGGGGAAAAAACGGCGCTGGATGACGTCAAAAAGGAAAAAATGGGGAAAAAAAATCGAAATTTTCTTCAAATTCAGCACCGGCAGCGCGGACAGCGCGGGGGCGGGATTATGCTAATTAAGGGGCGTTGTTATGTTAATGACACTGTGTGGAGGCGTGGTTATGTTAATGAGCGTTGTGGGGAAATTACCCTGGCAACCGCGTCCCGGTGGGCGGGGCTTCTCCGCCGTTCTGGCCTCTCATTGGTCCGTTGAAGTTTCCCGCTGTTTCTCTGGCTTCTCATTGGTCGGCGCGCTGAGCACCGGCGCCGTTCTGGCTCGTGATTGGTCAGCGGCGTTGCCGGGGCTCCGTGAGGGCTCGGCCATGGCGGCCGCGCTGGAGGAGGCCGTGGGCACCGTGTGCTGGTGGGGGGCTGTCCCCGGCCATCGATCTCCGCCTTCACCGTGAGCCCACAACCCCCCCTGGCCCTCCCGGTGTTACCGGCGCCGCTCCCGGTGCTCCCGGTGCTCCCGGTGACCGCGGTCCCCTCACGATTTCCCGCAGTCCCGCCGGAACCGGAGGCCTCTGTGCTGCTGGTGGGGGCGGCTGAGGGGCGGCACCTCCTCATGACAGCGGCCCGGGCCCGGCGGGGACCCCCCCGGGACATCACGGTACGGACCGGGACGGGGAGGCGACACCGGTTTGGGGTTCTCCCGGTGTTACCGGAGCTCTCCCGGTGTTACCGGGCCTCTTCCGTAGCTGTTCGTGGCCGAGCAGAGCCCCGAGACCGTGGCTCGCCAGCTCCTGTTCCTGCTGCTGGCGCTGGAAGCACCGGAGAGGCCCCGGCCCGCAGGTACCGGTACACCCGGTAACCCTCCCGGTGACCCTCCCGGTGTCCCCGTTACCCCTCTGGGATGTCCCCAAGGTTTCCCCGGTGTCCCCTCCCGGAAACCCGGATGCCTCCCGGTAACCCCGCTGTCCCTCCCGGTAATTCCCGGTAAATTCCCGGTAATTCCCGGTAAATTCCCGGTGTCCCTCCCGTTGTCCCAGCCCGCGCCGCCGCCATCCTGGAGCTGCTCGGTTCGGGCTCGCTCCGCCCGGGCACGGCCGCGCTGCTGCGGGGGGCGGCGGGGCGGCTCCGCCGATGGATCCGAGCCGGCACCGAACCGGAACCGGGACAGAACCGGGACCGCGATGGACCCGCGGATCTGCGGCTCATGAAGGTCAGAACCGGCACCGGGACCGGAGGGAAGCGGGGCCGGACGGGAGTGGGGAGGAGCGGGGCTGGGACACCGGGACTGCCCGGTGCCGGGATTCTGAGGGCACCGGGAATGGCCGGTACCGGGGTTCTGAGGGCACCGGCACTGTCCGGTACCAGGGTTCTGAGGGCACCGGGAATGGCCGGTACCGGGGTTCTGAGGGCACCGGGACTGCGCGGTACCGGCGTTCTGAGGGCACCGATGCGGTCGGGACCGGCTCTCATTGTCCCGGTTCCCTCCGTTACCGCAGTGCCGGGACCGGGACGCGCTCGAGGCGGTTCTGCAGCGCTGGGAGCGATCGGTGCCGCTACCGGGGGCGGAACCGGAGGCGGTGCCGGTACCGGAGGCGGTGCCGGGACCCCCGGGCTGGGACCGGCGGCTGCGGCGGCGCCTCGGGGCCCGCTACGAGGCGAGGGCGGCGGTGGCGGATTGGGAGCTGCGGATGGCGCTGCACCCTCGGGGGGTAACCGGGGACACCGGGGGGACACCGGGGAGGTGTTGGGGACCCCCCCACTTTGCCCCATTCCCGGTGTGTCCCCAAGGGCCACGTCGGTGTCACCGGCGGAGTTCGGGCGCTGGCGGGAGAGCGGCGACGCCTTCGGCGGAGGGGGAACGACCCGAACCCGACGGTGCTGAGCGACCCCAGACCCCGGGCCGTGAGTACCGGGAGGGACACCGGGACACCGGGAGGGACACCGGGAGGGACAGGGGGACACCGGGAGGGGACAGACGGACACCGGGAGGGACAGACGGACACACGGACACTGCTCTGCTCCCCCATTGTCCAGGACGGGCGCTCGGTGTCCCCCCCCTCCTATTGGGGGGACACGGTCACCGGACCCTTCCTCAGCTTCGGCCTCGGCCCCACCGGGACCCAGAACCCCCCGAAGGTACCGGGGAGGGGTCCCGGGGGTCCCTAATGAGGGGGGGGTCCCGGGGGTGTTTAATGAGGGGAGGGGTCCCAGGGTGTTTAATGAGGGGGGGTCCCGGGGGTGTTTAATGAGGGGAGGGGTCCCCAGGGTGTTTAATGAGGGGGGGGGTCTGGGGTGTTTAATGAGGGGAGGGTCCCAGGGTGTTTAATGAGGGGGGGTCCCCAGGGTGTTTAATGAGGGGAGGGGTCCCAGGGGTGTTTAATGAGGGGGGGGGTCCCAGGGTGTTTAATGAGGGGAGGGGTCCCAGGGGTGTTTATTGGGGAGGGGTCCCGGGGACAGGGGGTTATTTAGGGGGGGTCATTTAGGGGGGGTTATTTGGGGGTTCCCTATTGAGGGGGGGTCTCTCACGGGACCCCTCCCCACCCCAGACGGCCTCCGAGCTGTCCCTGGCCGCTGTCACGGAGCTGCTGCACGAGCTCCTCACCGGGGACACCCCCGGGGACACCCCCAAAAAACCGGGGACACCCCCGGGGACACCCCTGGGAACGGGGACACCCCCGGGGACACCCCAAAAACCGGGGACACCCCCGGGGACACCCCTGGGAATGGGGACACCCCCGGCGACACCCCCAGAACCGGGGACACCCCCGGGGGACACCCCAAAAACCGGGGACACCCCCGGGGGACACCCCCGGGACCGGGGACACCCCCGGGGACACCCCCGGGACCGGGGACACCCCCGGGGATGATCCCAACCCGCTGGGTGAGTTTGTGTCCCCCCCTCCCCTCCCCTGAGTGGCACCTGAGGGTCCCCAACCCCACCAGGACCACTCCCCAAAATCGCCTCAAAATTCGCCTCAAAATTCCCTCGAAATTCCCTCAAAATTCCCCTTAAAATTCCCTCAAAATTCCCTCGAAATTCCCTCAAAATTCCCCTCAAGATCCTCCTCAAATTCCCCCCAAATCCCTCTCAAAATCTCCTCAAAATTCTCTCAAAATCCCCTCAAATTCCCCTTGAAATTCCCTCAAAATCCCCCCCAAAATCTCCTCAAAATTCCCTCAAAATCCCCCTCAAAATTCCCCCAAAATCCCCCCAAAATTCCCTCAAATCCCCCCCAAATTCCCCTCAAAATCTGCTCAAAATCCCGCTCAAAAATCCCCTCAAAATCCTCTCAAAATCCCCCCAAAATCCCCTCAAAATCCCCCCCAAATTCCCCTCAAAATCTGCTCAAAATTCCCTCAAAATCCCCCTCAAAATTCCTTCAAAATCCCCCCAAAATTCCCTTAAAATTCCCCCCCAAAATCCCACCCAGACCCCCCAAATCTCCCCCCAGACCCCTTCAGGACCCCCCAAATTCCCCCCAGACCCAATTGGGGCCCCCAAATCTCCCCATAGACCCCCCCCAGGACCCCCAAATCCCCCCCAAAATTGCCCCAAACCCCCCCAGGATCCCCCAAACCTCCCCCAAACCCTCCCAGGACCCCCCAAATCTACCCCCAAAATTCCCCCAAACTCCCCAGGACCCCCCAAAATTGCCCCAAACCCCCCAGGACCCCCAAATCCCCCTCAGGACCCCCCAATCCCCCCAAGATTCCCCCAAATCTTCCCCCAAACCCCTCCAGGACCCCCCAAATCTGCCCCCAAAATTGCCCCCAAACCCCCCAGGACCCCCCAAACTCCCCCACGACCCCCAAAATCTTCCCCCAAATCCCCCCAAACCCCCCCAGATTGTCCCTAAACCCCCCAGGGACCCCCCAAAATTGCCCCCACCCCCCCCCAGGACCCCCCAAATCCCCCCCAGGACCCCCCAAACCCCCCAGGACCCCCAAACCCCCCCAGGACCCCCCAAAATTGCCCCAAATCCCCCCCAGGACCCCCCAAATCCCCCCCAGGACCCCCCAAAATTCTCCCTTTCCCCTCCCCTTTCCAGGGCCCCTGGCCCCGCTCCCGCTCCGGGTTCGGTTCCTGCCCTTGGGGGGCCCCCCCCGAGACCCCCGCCCCGCCTCGGGGGGCGCTGCCGGCTGCTGGTGCTGGGCTGGAGGTGCCCGGGGGTCCCGGGGGGATTTGGGGGGTCCTGAGGTGAATCTGGGGGGTCCTGGGGGGTTTTGGGGGAGATTTGGGGGTCCTGAGGGGGTTTGGGGGGTCTTGGGGGGGTTCAGAGGGGTCCTAGGGGAGATTTTGGGGGTCCCGGGGGGGTTTCGGGGGGTGTGGGGGAGGTTTTGGGAGGTCCTGGGGGGTTTTGGGGGCAGATTTGGGGGTCCCGGAGGGGGGTTTCGGGGGGTCCCGGGGGGGTCTTGGGGGGGTTCAGAGGGGTTTTGGGAGGAGCTTTGGGGGTCTTGGGGGGGTTCAGAGGGGTCCTAGGGGAGATTTTTGGGGATCTTGGGGGAGTTTGGGGGAGGTTTTGGGGGTCCCGGGGGAGTTTTGGGGGGTCCTGGGGGAGTTTTTGGGGGCTTTGGGGGAGGTTTTGGGGGGTCCCGGGGGTGTTTTGGGGGGTCTGGGGGGGTTTTGGGGGGAGATTTGGGGGTCCTGGGGGGGTTTTGGGGGGTCCCGGGGGGGTTTTGGGGGATCTGGGGGAGGTTTTGGGGGGTCCCGGGGGGGTTTTGGGGGGAGATTTGGGGGTCCTGGGGGAGTTTTTGGGGCTCCTGGGGGGGTTTTGGGGGGGGTTCGGAGGGGTTTTGGGGGGAGATTTGAGGGTCCCGGGGGGGTTTTGGGGGGTCCTAGGGGAGATTTTGGGGGTCCTGGGGGGGGGTTTGGGGGTCCTGAGGAGAATTTGAGGGGTCCTGGGGGGTTTGGGGGAGGTTTTGGGGGGTCCTGGGGGAGGTTTGGGGGGTCCTAGGGGAGATTTTTGGGGGTCTTGGGGGAGTTTGGGGGAGGTTTTGGGGGGTCCCGGGGGGATTTGGGGGGGTCCTGGGGGGGTTTTGGGGGGTCCTGGGGGGGTTTTGGGGGGAGATTTGAGGGTCCCGGGGGGGTTTTGGGGGGTCCTGGGGGAGTTTTTGGGGGCTTTGGGGGAGGTTTTGGGGTGTCCTGAGGT